AGCGGCCCAGCGCTGCTCACTGGGGCCCGCTGGTGCCCATCCTTGTGTCACCAGCTCTGTTGTGCCATGGCAGCTTCCTGGGGGTTCGCAGGGAGCACCCGGTGATTTATGGCTCCCAGCGCCTCTCAGTTTGTAATAAAGTTTTCAGCAGCTCTGTCGCGCCCGTCCCCACCCCCGCGCACGCACAGCCCGCGCTCGCTTTGTTCTCCTCACACCGAATGTCAACTCATAAACCTTTCATCAACTAAACCAGGTGGAAAAAACCCATTACTGAAAGAAGTGTTCATTCAGGTTCGGAGGGGGATGGCGGGCGGAGGAGAAAGTTCCCCGGTGGAAGGAAAGCAAAGGGGAGGGGGCGCGGAGGAAACGCGAGGCTCCGCAGGGCCCGGCAGCGCTGCCAGCCCCGCAGGAGCCGGGAACAGCCCTGGGCATCCTCTGGGAGGCAGCGATTCGGGCCCCACAGCCGCTGCTGAAAGGGAGCGTCAGCACGGGCGAGCCATGCCAGCCACTCCACCTTCGGTGCCTTTGTGTGGCTGGAGGGGCCCCAGCCCTGCGTGGGGCTCCCAGACCTGCCAGGGGCTTCTCCAGCCCTGCCCGGGACTCCCCCAGGCCTGCCTGGGGCTCCCAGCCCTGATCGGGGCTCCTCCAGCCCTGCCTGGGGCTCCTCCAGCCCTGACCAGGGCTCGGGGGCTGACAGACGCGGAGGCCACACAGCACAGGGGCTGAAAGCGCTGGAACTGCGAGCGAGGAGAGAGGGGGACAGAGACAGTGGGGTGTCCCAGAGGGGGACAGAAACAGCAGGGTGTCCCAGAGGGGCACAGAGCCAGCGGGGCGTCCTAGAGGGGGACAGGGCCAGCAGGATGTTCCAGAGGAGCACAGGGCCAGCGGGGTGTCCCAGAGGGGCACAGAGCCAGGAGGGTGTCTCAGAGGGGGACAGGGACAGCAGGGTGTCCCAGATGGGGACAGGGCCAGCAGGGTGTCCCAGATGGGGACAGGGACAGCGGGGTGTCCCAGATGGGGACAGGGACAGCGGGGTGCCCCAGAGGGGGACAGGGCCAGCGGGGCGTCCCAGAGCGGGGACAGGGCCAGCAGGATGTTCCAGAGGGGCACAGAGCCAGCGGGGTGCCCCAGAAGGGGACAGGGCCAGCGGGGCGTCCCAGAGCGGGGACAGGGCCAGCGGGGTGTCCCAGAGGGGCACAGAGCCAGCGGGGTGTCCCAGATGGGGACAGGGACAGCAGGGTGTCCCAGAGGGGCACAGAGCCAGCGGGGTGTCCCAGAGGGGCACAGAGCCAGCAGGGCGTCCTAGAGGGGGACAGGGCCAGCGGGGTGCCCCAGAGGGGGGACAGGGACAGTGGGGTGTCCCAGAGGAGCCCAGAAACAGCAGGGTGTCCCAGAGGGGGACAGGGACAGCGGGGTGTCCCAGAGGGGCACAGAGCCAGCGGGGTGTCCCAGATGGGGACAGGGCCAGCGGGGTGTCCCTGCGGCAGCGCCAGCCCAGGGATGCTGAGCTCGGAGCTGCAGCGCCTGCCGCTGCTGCCACACCTCGCTGCACAGGTGTCCCTGTGAGCGCAGCCCTGGCCGGGGGCTGGGAGTGTCCGATGGGCAGGGACAGCACGGCAGGAATCCGGGCATGGCACCTTTCCTGCTGGAATTCCTGCCGCAATTCCTGCCTCCCGCCGGTTCCACCTGCCCCAGGAAGGCGCTGCTGCTGCTGCCTGCACGGGCCATCGATCCCCGTTATTGACTGGGGATGGGATTTCAAAAGGGCTGTAGGTGGAGTTCACTGGGAAATGCAATCTCCTTTTCCCCAGCGTGTTTGTGTTTCAGGCACACACTTCTGGGGTTGGTGGATCTTTCTTTACACACGGTGTGTAAAGTTCTGCACAAAAGTGTGTTTAAATAAGTTCTTAAGCTGTGCAGCCCAGAGGTAAAGCTCTGGAGAAGGGCAGGAGGTCCCTAGAGGATGAAGAAAGGACGAGAAACAACAAAGGAGAACAGGCAGTGACATCTGTCACTAGTATTTTATAAGTTAAAAATTCAGCATAATCTCCTGCCACCCTGTCCGCTATACCGAGTTCCAACAGCAACAGAATTGTCATGATTTCTACATGAATTAATTCAAATCTCTCTTTGCATGATATGGCGTAAGAAAGGGGCCATCTGGTTTATGTTCAGGGTGTCAGAACCACTCATACCAGCACACTCGCAGAGTGCAAGATGGGAGCTGACTGCACACATTAACGTCTCCTTACCCTCTGCCTGGCCGGGCCCCGGCGCTGCCGGCCCGTTCGCCGCTGCAGTTCCCACTTTTGGTACCCTAACTCAGAGCCTGGGCAGCTCCCGGCACCCACAGCCCCAGGGCTGTTCCCCAGTGTCGGAACTCAAAATGTCCCTCAGGCATTTTTAGAGGTTCCAGGCCTTGGTCAGAAGCATTTTAGACCCTGGCAAGCAGCTGAAAACAGCTGTGATCTTGAGTTTGAACCATGGAATGAATTACCAACTTTGAAGGTGGAATAAGCAGTCACAGAGGGTTAGATGGTATAGTAAAAGTAGTCACAAATTAGAGGGTAAAATTTTTTAGTATTGTACAGGGGGGTTTTAACACCTGTACAGGGGGGTTTTACTTTGTACAGGGGGGTCAGGAGTTCTAAGATGGAGGAAAGTGGGCCTGATCCTGTTCTTCCTCCTTCTTCTTCCTTACCTCCATGTTCTTGGTGATGTTGGCATTTTTCTATTGGTTTAGGCTGGGGACACACTGCTCAACGTAGATGATAGATATTGGCACATTATTGTAAATATAGTACACGTAATTTCTGGTATATAATGTTTGCACCATCCCACTGAGGGGCAGAGCCCCACACGCTGCCCTGCAGGACAGAGCTGCGGCAGGGCAGCGGAACTTGTTATAGATGAGCAAAAATAAACAGCCTTGAAAACAGCACAGATGAACTATGGCTTCTTCTTTGGCAACGGGGCAGAAAGACAGAGACTTTCTACAATCTCGGAATCACCAACACCCACAGATTCCGACACCCCAGCACCCACCCGGGGCTGGTCTGGCACAGCCAAGGGGCTTGGGGACACCGGGACCCCGCGGTGACAGGGCAGGGGTGGTCACTGCAGCTCTGTCCGAGCAGTGACCCTGGCCGTGCCAGCCCTCCCCTGGCCAGGGCTCAGCAGGAGCCCGGGGAAGGCGCCGTGGGCGTGGGGAGCTCCCATCCCACCAGGAACCACACCCAGAGTCCGGAACCTTCTCCCTGCTGTGGAGGTTTAAATTCTGCCTCTCAGCTGAAGAGATAATAACTGAGATAAGTGTGAAGCTTTAACTGGGGTGTCTGGAGCTGATGGCATCATGCAGGTTTACACTGCCTGGTTTTCCTGGACGCGTTGTTTTTTACCTGGATATATTAATTTTTACCTGCATGCCTTAATTTTTGCCTGGATATATTAATTTTTACCCAGACTTATCCATTTTTACCTGGATGCAATGGTTTTTGCCTGGGTGTATTAATCCTCAAAGCACCCTAAACGACAGCAGTGCTTGCAATTCTCAGCTAATTGCAGGGAAAGAAAAAAGGGTCAGGAAAACAGGTCTTTTGAGGCTGTAAATCAGATTTTGATTAATTAATTATTACAGCAATTTTTGTTCTGCCTGTGTTACATCCTGGTGACAAACTGATTCACTGTGATTTTTCCAGCAGTTCCTTGAATATTCAAAATCCAAGTAGAATTGGTTTGCTGAGACAAGGCACCAAAGCCCCCAATTCTGCTCCCTTTGCTGGTTGAAAGGGGCTCAGGAGAGTGGGAAAGAACCCCCATAGCAGAAAATCCTCATCTAGAACAGATTAACTCTGTTTATATTGCAAAGGCTCTGGCTCAAGTGAGGCCTTTTTTTGCTTAGAAATATTGTTTTAGCATGAATTTATCTTCAAATGAACTTTGTGGTAAATAGCATTCAAACATGAGCTTAAATTTAAGGTCTTATTTAAGTGCTTTTCTACTTCACTTGCCAGCTGAGGATCTGGCCTGAGCTTTGAAGATCTTTGGGGAGAAGCAGCAGATTAATGAGATTAGAACATTTGCAATCACTTTTGTACTTCTCTGAGCTGCCTGATCTCTGTAATGCCTCGTCTCCACAGGGCTGCGGAGTTGTTGGCTGGGTGCTGACGGACAGGGGTGATGAAAACAGGGCTGGCTGAGCATCCTTTCAGCTCTGGGAACACATTCCATGGCCCCTGGGGATTGCACTTCCAGCCGTCAGCGTGTGTTTAATCTCTGTGCTCTGGGAGATCCATTGAGTGCTTCACTCTCCACCCCCGGGCCTCATCTCCTGCCTCAGCTTTGCAGCTGGTGTTTCACAGCCACAACATGAAACTGGTGCTCAGGGGAGGTGGGAAGGGGTGAGCTGGGGTGGGCAGGGCTTCCCCCAGGGAGATCCAGACTGGTCCCTCCTGGCTATTGCCACTGGAACATGCGACTCCATGCGCAGAACAGATCTGTGACACCCACCTTTGCCATCCGCTGCCTCGAAGTCAGGCTAAGGAGGCAGCAGCCTGGCAGCTCCCCTGTCCCTGGCTGGCATGGGGGTTCAGTTCCTGCGGGATGGAACGTGGAACTCCCCTTGGAGAGCAGGGCAGGACCTGGGGTTGTCCCTCTGTGAGCTCCTCCACGGCCACAGCCTGCGGCCTCCTGCAGCTGAGCTCCTCCATGTTCCTCAAAGACATGGCTTGAGGAAAGCAGAAAGAAACCCTAACCCCCCAAAGTGCCAAAAGCCCTTGGATCTGTGCACAGATCTTCCTGAAGGAAGGTTTCCCTGGGTGTTTATTGCACCCTCACCCCTCACAACCCCTGGCAGGTCAGGCTCGGAAAAGCCACGTAGACAGATGTTGGAGAAAAGCTTGAGGTGTTCTAAACTGTGCTGTTGGACACTCCTGGTTAGTGTCAGAGAGGGAAAAAGCACCAAGACAAACCCATAATCCTGTTTTTTCCAGTCACAGAAACAACCTGGAGCCCATTTAATGCAGAATTGCCAGAAATGCAGCCAGGGAATCATGCAGGGCCAGGACAAACAGGGCAGGAAGTGCAAACCCTACTCACTGCTCCATTTCCTGCACCAAAAGAGTAATTATAATTAAAAATAAATCACTGCTGCTTTTAGTTTGATGAAATTACTACTGCTATTAAGAGTAGCTCAAGCTGACTGTAAATCATTTTCTGCAGGCTATCACTTTGGGGTTTGGAATATTTGATGGGTTAAAGGATGTGTGGTGCTGCAGCTGCAGGAGAGGGCAGAGCAGGAATCACACCGGGGTGAGAGCAGCACGTTCCTGTACTCCGGGGTGCCTGGAGCCTGGAAGAAATGAAATTAGCACTTCTGAAAACGAACTGATTAATGCAAAGATGCTCCCAACCACTCCGCTCATCCTCCTTAATGGGATGTGGGAGGCAGTTTTGACTTGCTGGCCAGAGGAGGGGCTCCCAAAGGCATGCACTCAGTTGACAGCCATCACTTTGGTGCTGTTTTGTTTCTTTTAATGTGTCAAAACTCGGCTGCTCTCCAGAATTATTAGAAGTTCAGAACGAAAACTTTTCTGTTGTTAAAGGGAATTTTCTGTAGTTGCATTCTGCGTTGCTGAGGGGTGAGGGGAAGTGGGAGCCTGGACTCCTGGAGTCTGAGAGCCTGGGCTTTACGAGGCTGCAGAAAGCCTGGTGAGAACAGGGCCCAATCTGGAAATGCATTTAAGACACTCACGGCTTGGAGCACATAAATACTCGCACAGAAGTCAATGGGACATAAATTCATGAATTTGCCTAAGTGCTTTGCTGGATCTCTGCCGAAGGAACCACTTACCAGGAGTTCCAGTCACAGAATCAGAGCCCTGTTAATGAGCAAAGCCCCGGAGCAGGGCGGCAGGGAGATGTGAAATCCAGCCCCACGTCGTGCCAGGGCTGCTGAGCTCCATCCCACCCCACGGCCGCTTACCCTGCTGGGTGACACCGCTGTCCCCTGCCCCTCCAAAGGCATTTACAGGGTCCATTTTACACTGGCAGTGCAGGAGGGGGAGCAGCCTCTGCAGCAGCCTGGGGCTGGTGCAAACCAGAGCTCAGATTCAGGGGGCAGGAAACACAGCAGCTTTTCTTCTAGAAAAAGGCTGTTCCAGATCTTCAGTGAATTGTGCCTTTCACCTTCCACTTTTTTATTTTAAAATTCTCTTGGCAGCAGAGGAGGCTGATCAGGAAAGAGAAACATGAGTGACTAAGATCAGTCGATATTGTCAGATCTCTGCATGCTCCATTAGTGCTGGCAGGCACCAGAAATGCAGATTTCACTGTGCAAGAGCTCATAAATCACTCTGGGAGCAGCAGCTGGGGTGGGGATGCTGGGGAGGGAGAAGAGGGGTGGTAAAAACCCAAACCAGGACCGGAGCAGCTCCTGTGCCATGAGGATGCCCAAGGTGAGGATAAACAAAGGAGTGTGGCAATGGGACAGGGCTGGAACACCCTGGATCCTCCAGCGTGGGCAGCTCTCACTCACACTGAGGTTTCCCCTGAACCAGAAACAGGAGCAGCCCCTGGGAGAAGTGAGGCAGAACATGGGTTTGCTGAGCGTCACTGTGAGCTGTTCAGCACATTTGGGTGTATTCAATAAATCCCTGTCAGGATCCTTGCTCTGAGAGAGGAGAGGGTTGTGACAAATTGCTTTTGTCTGTTGTTCTGCACAGACGTTTCTTTCAATCAAGGAAGAAGTGCTCGCACATCATAATGAAACTTCCCCCAGAATCTCTGTGTGTGGGCCAGAGCTGGCCACTGGCACTGGCCTGGGAGCCCAGGGGCATGGGGGGCCCAGGGGCATGGGGGGCCCAGCAGCTGCTGCCAGGGATCCCCAGCTGGAGCAGGAACACAGGCTGACCCTGCAGGGCCACATGGATACCCTGAATCTGTAGGAACTCAGGAATGTCAGGGAAGAAAATGCTTGGAAGGTTTGATTTATGGAAATCATCATATCAGATTCTGGTGGTGGGCTTAGCAGTGCTGGGAAAGGGCAGGACTCAATAATTCAGAGGTTTCCTCCAGCCTAAACAACTCCATGATTCTGTGTTTTGTGAGCAAACTTTGGGGTTGTTTTCTAGAAGCAAATCACAAAGCTCTTCCAGAATTCCCAGAGAGTTTGTAGGCGAAAGGACCTTCAGTCCTTCCCATTCTCACAGCATCCTCCACTGTGGTTCACACAGAGCTGTGTTAACATGAGTCTGGAATATCTCAGCACATAATTATTTATCCTTCAATAAAACAAAGAAAACCATGTCTAAATCTGACTAATATCCCCTCCTCAGCCTGCCAAGTGGGGCCTTGTGTTTTCAGCACTGAAAAGCAAGCCTGACTAGCTGCATATTTTGTGTTACCATGGTTTATGTCCAAATGCAAGGATTTAATTTTGTCCGTCATCAAGCCGTGGTTTCCATATGACACCAGCACATTCCTCCCCTCTGCCTGCTGTTCTGACAGACGACAGAATCGAATTAAACGTTCCAACCACCCCACTGCAAAGGCAGGAGCTTCTGTTCCTTTGGCTTTGGAGATCAAGGGGCAGATCTTTACCGGGCAGGAACCGTCCTCGGCGCAGCCACGAACATTTGCACCGTGTGCCCCGGCTGAGGCCCGGCCTGGGATGTCTCCATCGCCCAGGACAGTGCGAGAAGATGGATAAAGCAGGACTGACAGATGAGACAGACTCTCCTTTCTGCTGTGCTGGCCCTTCTGAGTGATGATTATGGTGTTTCCTCCTGGAGCAGCCCCACTTCTCCCTCTGGAGCCAGCGAAGAGAAACCCCTGCACATATTTCTGCACTAACTGCAGCCTCCCTCCCTCCCAGCCAACTGCAATTTCATGGTATCAACATTTTAAAAAAGCCAATCCCCAGGCTCTGCCTTGCTGAGACCTCGAGGAGAAAAATGACCAGTTCCTTCTGCAAGCACCGGCTGGGTTTTCAAAGCAGCCTGAGGGGATTACACACACATCTCACTTTGAAATTTAAGCTCTGGATCTTGAAAGAATAAGGTTTATTCCGCAGCTTCACACCCTGAAGGGACAGCTCATTGCCTGGGATTGCTGTGATGTCATCCTGGCACGGAACCTTTCCAGGCACAGTGCCTTGCTCTGCACGGAGCAGCACGGGGGTGACCCTGGGCTGGGCCTTGGGGTTTTGGGGTGCTCTGGGTGCCAGCACTCCCTGAGTGTCCATCCTGCTCAGTCCAGGAATAGAGTTATCCCAAACACTGACAAACCCCAGCGGGTGGGAATTGGAGAGGTAGGATCCCCAGGAAGGGAAAGAAGTGCAGGAGGATGCTGGCAACCATCCAGCTGGGCCTGCAAGTCACTCCTGGAGCTCACAGAATCACAGAATCACAGAATTCTGGGATCCTGTGGTGATGAGCCAGCTGGGTCTGCAAGTCAGCACGGCTCCTGGAGCCCCGGCAGGGTTTGCGCTGCTGGGTTTGTCCTGGGTTTGCAGTGCTGGGTTTGCAGTGCAGGGTTTGTCCTGGGTTTGCAGTGCTGGGTTTGCAGTGTTGGGTTTGTCCTGGGTTTGCAGTGTTGGGTTTGCAGTGTTGGGTTTGCAGTGCTGGGTTTGCAGTGTTGGGTTTGCAGTGCTGGGTTTGCAGTGTTGGGTTTGCAGTGTTGGGTTTGTCCTGGGTTTGCAGTGTTGGGTTTGCAGTGCAGGGTTTGCAGTGTTGGGTTTGTCCTGGGTTTGCAGTGCTGGGTTTGCAGTGTTGGGTTTGTCCTGGGTTTGCAGTGCTGGGTTTGCAGTGCTGGGTCTGTCCTGGGTTTGTCCTTGGTTTGCAGTGCTGGGTTTGCAGCGCAGGGTTTGTCCTGGGTTTGCAGTTCTGGTTTGTTTCTGGGTTTATAGTGCTGGGTTTGCAGTTCTGGATTTGTTCGGGGATTGCAGTACTGGGTTTGTCCTGGGTTTGTCCTGGGTTTGCAGTGCTGGGTTTGTCCTGGGTTTGTCCTGGGTTTGCAGTGCTGGGTTTGTCCTGGGTTCGTAATGCTGGGTTTGCAATGCTGATTTTGCCTGGGTTTGCAGTTCTTGGTTTGCAGTGCTGTATTTGTTCAGGGATTGCAGTACTGGGTCTGTCCTGGGTTTGTCCTGGGTTTGCAGTGGTGGTTTTTTCTGGGTTTGTAGTGCTGGGTTTGCAGTGATGGATTTGTTCGGGGATTGCAGTACTGGGTCTGTCCTGGATTTGTTCAGGGATTGCAGTGCTGGGTTTGTCCTGGGTTTGCAGTGCTGGGCTCTGCCTGGAGGTGTGGCTGGGTGATGCTGCTGCTGCCAATAGCCCAGGAGAGGGGACCTGGGACCTGCTGGGACTGGGTAAAGAAACAAATTTGTATTAATTAGGAACAAATGCTCATTGCTGGCTAATGGGTTCCACAGCAGATGTTTGTCCCAATATCCAAGAGATGGGTCATCTCCAACACAAGTGATAAGTGATAAACCACAGGAGTGGGGTTTCTGGTTGTTTCATGTTGTCTCAGATCAAAAGCAGGGTTGGTCAGGGCTGGAAATATCATTAATTAACGCTGACACCTGAGTTTGAGATGCCTTATTCACACAATGCCCTTTGCTAAATTAACCACGGTCCCCAGATTAGGTAAATCTTCCCTGTTCACTCTGAGCATGGAGCATTAATACCCAGAATCAGCAGCTGGGGATTCAGCTGTCTGTTCCTGAAGTGAACATGACCTGCAGGACTCCCCTGGTAGTCCCAAACATCCTGCCCATGCTGTGGTGTTCACACACCTTGTGGGGCAGGTGTACAGACCCCTGGGGCTGTACAGACCCCTCGGTGCCAGCACAGTTAAACAAAGACTTGGATGTGCCTTCCTGGTGATTCTGAGTTTAGGAATGGGTCAGGACGAAGCAGCTCCCCAGGAATATTGTCCTTGCTCTGTACTCCAACTGACTGACAGTGTGGGTGAGCATTTTCTGAGAGGGAGAAATGAAAAATCTGGGTGCATTTTCCACCTGGGAGGTGCCCACGTGACGGTCCTCGTGTGTGTATGTGTGTGTGTGTGTGCGTGTGCATGTGTGTGTGTACTTAGGGAAGTGTTTTGTACTGAAGATGTGTGTGCTGGGACAAAAAGGCTGTATTTAAAATTAATTTGTGTAAATACACATGTGCATGGGAAGCCCCCCTGCTGCAGACACCATACATATGTGCATATCTAATCATATTTGTGTACACAAACACTCACAAATTAGGGACAGAAAGTTAAGCATATGCCTGTCTCACCCCTCAGTGATGATCCCTCCAAGGAACATCAAACCTGTTTGTGTCAACACAGACCCCTGGGCCCTGGAGATCCCCGTGCACCCTGAGAAACAGAGATCTCTGTGCCTGCAGGGCAGCCCTGCACCATCCCCACACCTCTGCCATGTCCCCTCTGCTACAATCTCCATCCCTCCTGGGCACAACTCCCCAGCCAGCATCCTCTGATCTTTGCCCTCTTTTCCTTCAAATTAAATTTCAACTTTTTTCAAATCTCTGGTGAGTGACAAGCCAGTGCCAGAACTATCTTTTAATACACAAAAGCATAAATAATGCCATCCATCAGAGCTGTCACTCAGCAAGATGGATTGCTACTTGTCCAGACACTGGAATGACACAGAAGTGAAAGTTAGGAACTGTCTCTTTTCTTTGCTTGCTTTCTTTTTCTTCTTCTCTCTCCCCTTTTTTTTTTTTTATTTGCCGGACTGCTTGATTCTGATTAATGGTGCTGTCAGGGAGGGATTCCGCTTGCCCGGATAATGAGTCAGGAATGTATTCCCTGTCACAAACACAGCAGATGTCAGGGGCAGAAGGGCCCGGGAATGCCAGAAACAATATACAGTTTCTTCCTAGTCCCCTGACAGGCCAATATGCTGCACAAGGTCTAATTTATGTAGACAAAATGCAGGCAAGGGGCTGTGGCAGCAGAGAGGCTGTGGGGAAGTCTGGAGTACAATGCAGGAGGGAGGTAATGAAGGCGAGCACTGGGACTCAATAGCACTGCATCAAACGGCCTTAACAAGAATGGCCCAGGACCACTTTGACTCCATTAAAGTGCACTTTACATCATTATAGAGAGAAATCAAACAGGGCAGAGGGCTTCTGTTTCTTTTAATGGCTCGATTAGGTTATTCACTCATCTCGCTCGCAGCTGTCACCGCGGTGCCAGGGAGGGACGCTGGCCTGGTGGCACCTCTGCACCCCCTGTGCCTCACAGACAGGCTCCCAGGCTGTGCCCAGGGCTGCTGAAGGGATTTCCCTGGCTTTGTCTGCAAAGGGGCCAGGCGGGTGCCCAAAGCCCAGCCCCGGTGTCGGAATCTGTGGGTATTGGTGATTCCGAGATTGTAGAAAGTCTCTGTCTTTCTGGCCCACTGCCAAAGAAGAAGCCACAGTTCGTCTGTGCTGTTTTCAAGGTTGTTTATTCTGTTTATCTCTACCATGTTCTGCTGCCCTGCCGCAGCTCTGTCCTGCAGGGCAGCGTGTGGGGCTCTGCCCTCAGTGGGATGGTACAAACATTAAATACCACAAACTACCTGTGCTATATTTACAATCATGTACCAATATCTGTCACCTACGTTGAACAGTGTGTCCCCAGCCTGAACCAACAGAAAAATGCCAACACCACAGTGAAAAATGGAGGGCATGAAGAAGGAGAAAAA